CATTACTTCAGTCTTCAGTGTCACATGACCCTTCAGAAATCATTCATTAAGAAGTTTAGAAAAGGAGGAACAAGTGAAAGTAATTTTTTGTAGTAATCAACATAATGCCACAAATACTGTCAGTTGAGCTTAACTTACATGCACCCAGAAATTATAATTGTGATCATATCTCTCTTATACCCTCTAACGCTCTCTTTTTAATTTTCTTTCCATACCTCTTTCTCTCTGTTCTCCCCATCTCTCACAGGATCATCGAGGCAGTATGCATTGGCTGGTTCACTGCCGAATGCATAGTGCGCTTCATTGTCTCACGGGACAAATGTGAGTTTGTGCGCCGCCCCCTTAACATTATTGACTTCCTGGCGATCACACCTTACTACGTGTCTGTCGCTGTGACAGCGCTAACAGGAGAAAACCCTCAACTACAGCGTGCAGGAGTCACCCTGCGTGTACTACGAATGATGCGCATCTTTTGGCTAATCAAGCTGGCGCGCCACTTCCTCGGGCTGCAGACGCTCGGGCTGACGCTGCGCAGGTGCTACCGCGAAATGGTCATGCTGCTGGTGTTCGTCTGCGTCGCGATGGCGATATTCAGCGCCCTGGCACAGCTGTTGGAGCACGGCCTTGACCTGGAGACTAGCAATGAGGACTACGCCAGCATCCCGGCAGCCTGCTGGTGGGTTATTATCTCCATGACGACCGTCGGCTATGGAGACATGTACCCCATCACCATTCCGGGACGCGTGCTGGGTGGCGTGTGCGTTGTGAGTGGCATTGTGCTGCTGGCTCTGCCCATTACCTTTATCTACCACAGCTTTGTGCAGTGCTACCACGAACTCAAATTCCGCTCAGCACGCTGCGTGCGAAGTCTCTCTTCTGAGTTTCTCAACTAACTGTAGCATAGATCGTCCTGAGAACCTGCTGGTCTTCAGCGTAGTAACATCACCTGCTCTTCTGTGCCTTTATGCTGAACCAAGATCTGAAATATAACGAAGGAACGCGCTACTTCTGATGTGGAAAAATCAGCATTTAGACTCTCTTTGCGAACCTGTTATATCCAAATAATAACACAAGTACCTCTGTACTCAAGGACACATTCTGGAATTCATTGATTTTAGACAATACAGGCATCTGAAGCAATTCTGACTTACAGAATAAGACAAAAGAGACAAATCCCCAGCTCAAAGTGGAAAGTGCACAATAAAGCATTACAATCCAAAGGAAATACTTTAGCCAATGTTTGTGTTGTAAACCCCTTCCTGTGTGAACGAACAAAACCGATAGAACGGCATTTCCCTTGTATGAAATGAACAACTGTGGCATTTGACGACTACAGATGGCCAGACTGCCTGGAACGGGCATCTGGCGGGACCTTGTGTCCTGACAGTGCTCCAGCCTATAAGGAGCTTACACGAATTCTCATGTTTCCATGGAGAGGTCCCTCCGACTTGTTAAATCATTAATTCAGCTCCCAATAAAATAGTAAAGCAAGAGGAACTAAAGTGAAAGGTTTTAAAATGGCCAAATAGCGCAAATACTGTGAAAAGGCCTGCTCACACTAAGGGCGGTAACTGTAATAATAACAATAAAGATAAGTCCCCCTGCAGTCACTAATTTTATCTCTTAAAACTCCTTTTTAATAGCAAAATTATAATTTTCCCCCATGAAAATATATTTTATCTTAAAATGGCTTGAATATAAACGCTTAACTCATTTAGTGTATTTGACCCTGGACCACAAAACCAGTCATAAGGGTACATTTTTCGAAA